GGAAAAAAATCACAAATCATCGGGGAGTATTTTCTACATAATAGTAGACTCTAAAATCGATTAAATAAGCATTTTGAAACCCCTATATTGTCAAACTTTTCGGGGGCTTCGCCCCTCGATCACTTTCTAAACCCTTTAATCAAAGCTCGACCATGCCCATTGAGGGCCTTCCCTATATTTTAATATCAACAGTTTTGCAATAGACGGGCAAGAAAACATGTGCCGACATCAGTATGCATCACAGTCTGAGAAAGAGCACGTTGTATTAAGGCCAACTCAGACAGCGTCGGCCGACGCAGCCCGACCCGATTTATCGTCGGGGACAGTCTTAAGCCGTCGTGAGAAATATTAACATGTTTAATATTCTACTACGCGACTGCCCCCGACGCACACCATCGCGTCTGCGTTCAACTCACCAGACCCGACGCGACAACAAATCGCGTCGGGCTGCGTCGGCCGACGCTGTCTGAGTTGGCCTTTAGTTAACAGTACCGTAACTGTGAAGACCAGGAACAATGTAGAATAGAAAGAGCAGAAAATATGTATGTGATCAATTCGTGACTGTACAAATAAGCGTATCAATCAATCAATCAATCAATCAATCAATCAATCGTCTTAAATACCTTACTTGTGTTATACAAATCAATGAATTAGAAATTGGATACCAATTTTATTTACAATGTTTTTTTTTTCTTTTTAGGAATAAGAACTCTGTGGCGTATGGCTCTCAGAAGGCTTGGTTGGTTAATGCGTCACTAAGGGACAACATCCTGTTTGGATCAGAATATGAGTACCAACGGTATGGCCATCATGTTTTCTACTATTCTATCAAGATTTACCAATGTTCAGTCCTTCACTTACTTGATAATTATTTGATTCTTCGAGTCTTCTTAAGTTTTCGCTTCTTTTTTCCATTTTCTCATCAATAATCGGTTGCTGCAGCAGGTGTGGCGCCAGAATTTTCCCGACGGGGGGAGGGGCGAGGTCCCCGACCGGGGGGCCCCCGATTTCCCCGACGAGGGGGTCAGATTTCCCGACGAAAGCAAAGTGGGCGTGGTCGAGCTTTGATTAGAAGGCTTCGAAAGTAGTCCAGGTAGGAGTCCGAAAATGTTGACAATTTAGGGGTTTCAACAAAGGTTTATTTAATCGGTTTTAGAGTCTATTAATATGTAGAAAATACATATAATTGTTTTCCTCCCCGACAAATTGTGCTTTATCTCCTGGATGGGTGGAGGGGGTAGCTCTCCCCGACGGGTGACTTTTCGAACTTTCAGAGTGAAGGTTTATGTGTTTTTCCAGTTCGGACTTAAATTTATTCACTCACAACTGACAGTCTAAATTTAGATCTGCTAAGATAAATTTCATGTAGGTATGAACGGACTATAGAAGCGTGCGCCCTCAAACCAGACATCGAGATCTTACCAGGCGGTGATCAGACTGAGATTGGTGAGAAAGGGATCAACCTTAGCGGAGGTCAGAAGCAGAGGGTCAGCATAGCGAGGACTGTGTATTCCGATGCAGACGTCATAATTTTGGTACAATAATTTGAATATTATTTTTAAAAAAAAATTACAATAAAACAATGCGATTGTATTTTAACTTACAACTATGCTCACAACCAACATATTTGTGTAAGATTGTAAACTTTTTCTAAATGTGTTTCTGAGGGTAAACATGATATATTATAGCCTAACTTGCATTTATACTGTATCTTTATCAGGATGATCCTCTGTCTGCATTGGATGTTCACGTCGGAAGTCAGGTTTTCAACGAAGGAATTATGGGATTGTTAATAGAAAAAGGTAAAACTGTGGTCCTCGTCACCCATCAAATACAATATGTGGAATTTGCACATCAGGTAAATGTAAAACTGTAGAACATAATGTCAAATTATTTGAATTAATGTGGTCTTGAAAAGTAATGCGTTCACATCAAACTTTTGTCCAGTTACCCTATTAAGATCAGTGGTGAATTACACCTGAACTGGAACGTAACAAGAGTCTCACATTTAATCATGACTTTACTAGACTTCCACCAACGTATATCTTGATATAGGGCTAATTAGACGGGTCATATCAAACCGTGGAGGAATGAGTTTGATCAAACTAAGTCAAGTTGACTGGACTATGGAAATTCGGTTACCCTGATTTAGTTTTGATGTAAACCAGCCTAGGTATTGAATTCGAAGTTCGCGATAACACTGTAACAGCGATATAGCTTAATGTGCTTAGGATCTTGACGTATTTAGCATTAAATGTGCTTAGGTATTTGACATCATAATGTCTAATGCCTAAGCACATTTAATGCTAAACGCGTTAGAAACCTAAACACATTAGGGATAGCCTAAACACGTTTAGCTTTTAAACGTGCCAGCAAAAACGGGACAACATTGTGTGGAGCTTTGTATTCAAATGCTCCACGTTGTTTTACAGTGTACGTATTTGTGAGTACCATATTTGATTAACAACGATTTCCTAAAGCATACGTGTCTAAAGCAACTTACTTTGAATTTTAAGATTATTGTTATGGACGACGGGAAAGTACTCACCCAGGGAACGTTAGATGAGATTAGATCAGATGATCCGGAGTTGTACCGATCCTGGCAGAAATCTATGGCGCAGAAGGAATCGGAGAGTGAGATGAGTGAAATAGAAAGCGCAGATGAAGAAAGGATGAAGTTAAAGAAGCAAATATCCATCAGAGAATCAGCCGAAGTTCGGGACCAGATATCTAAAAAAAGTTAGCAAGTGTCAGCGACTTAAGATTCAAAATTCAACATTCTATTTAAATAAAATTACACACTGTATAAAAAATAACAACCAAATAATTAGTTGTTTAGGCTTAGGCCTATGATACAATTATTAATGTGAATTAGATATTATGAATGAAAAAACAAATATATTTTGAATTTGATTTTGAGCTGTTCTTCATTAATTAGATTCCGAAACTGGGAAACTTATCGAGGAAGAGGAGATTGTCAGGGGCTCAGTCTCTTACAAGATGTACTTTTACTACATCAACGCTATGGGCAAGCTGCTTGCTGTGTTAGTTCTCGTCAGCTGTATATCTGTGACAGGTATGATGGTCGGCACTAATTTCTGGTTGTCTGAATGGTCGGAGGCCGGTATTGCTGTCTCAAATGACACAAGGGTAGGCCTTATATTACTCATTATCATCATCGTAATTTCCATCATTTTTATAATCATAATTATATGAATCCTCATCATATACCTGCCATGAGACAATTTATTGAAATGTGAAAGAGGTAACTTTTATTGATATTTTAAAACGAATTCAGCCAAATGCTGCTTTTATTATTCTTTTAACTACTTTTAATATTTTAATAGTTTGCCTCCCAATGTTTTAATGGTTTAAGATGCCATGAGAAAATGTAATGAATGTGAAAGGGTTAATTTTATTTAACCCTTTAAAACAACTTTGGCCAAATGATGCTTTTAATAACTTAACTTCTCTTAATGCTTTCATATTTTAACATGCTTTAACTATTATTTAACATTTTATCAATGGTTGTTTGTCTTGATGTTTTATATTTTAGTAACCAATTTTAGACAGTGTAAAAATTTCATGTGTGTATAATCAACCAAAGTTTCGAACCATGTTTATATTATTACTTGTGTTTGGCCAATAAATAAATCTTGAATCTTAAATTATCATCATCATTATCTTCAGTGCTTCAGTTTCATCATCATCATCATCATCATTCTCATCATCATCGTCATCATGATCATTATCACGATGCCTCTTGCATCCTAAGATAAAGTTGTTAATACAAACACCCATTATAAACGTTTGCGTTTTCTTTAAAGCTACTTATGTATTTCTTATTTCGTGTCTATTCACTTGTCATTTTTATTTCTCAGACGACTAAAGACTATATTCTAGGTTATACTGGCCTATCGATCTCAAGTATTGTATTGTCCATGGTGTCGTCTGTAAGTCTGGTGTTTGTGTGCCTCTACGCGGCTCAGAAATTGTTTTTAAATCTACTGCGAAATGTTATCAACGTGCCAGTCAGGTAGGAAGAATTTTCATTTATAAAGCCAATTATGGAAAAATATTATGAACCTCCATTACTGGTGTTTATGCCATAATAGATCTTCCACACACTATGTTATATAGACTTAGAAAAATAATAATGTTTCTCCAAAGAGGCACCAAACGATGATGCGGGTTGTTTGACTATACAGTATTATAATTTTGATTTGAAGGTTTTTTGATGTTACACCTGTTGGACGCATCCTCAATCGATTTTCGAACGACACACAAGTCATTGATGTGGTAAGTGACTAATAGTGACTTGCTGTGTCTACCTTATGAATAAAACTGACTTTTGCCATTGTACTTTGATAAAAACAACCCTTGAAAATAATAGAACCGTCCAAAAATTTGTTTATTTTTCACCGCTCATTTATAAATAATATGTAGGCCTATACAAAAATCAATTATTAACATAAGCCTATGTAAGACAGAGCCGAGGCTGCATTTCATTATTTGTTTTATTTTTTAATAATTTACTAGCGATTGAATCAGCTGATAAACGGACTTATACGAAGCACAGTGAGCTGTGTTGCTGCCCTCATCGTCAACACAATCGTTGTACCAGTGTTTATCGCCATTGTTTTTCCGGTTATGATCATCTATTACATTGTTCAAAAATTTTTCATTGCCACCTCAAGGTAGCCCTATTTTTAATTGTACATTATGCTTTCCATATCTGTATTTATAGTAATGTATTTGCAAAATAGATATTTCTGCTAAGCCTCGTTCCTAAGTTCACACAAAACTAAAGCTTAAAACGTACGTGTGTTTTGGGACATGCGCGTATCCTTGACCCTATTCTGGTTGGTAGGATTTGTTTTTGTTTGACACTTTGGAAAGATTCATTACTGAATGTTAAATTCCCCCCCCCCCCCACACCTTCCCATTTTGAAAAATTCTGGATCCGCCCTGAATATTTGCTTCAAAAACTCCAGTTTCGTGACATTTTACTCAAGTATCATTATAGTTCACTTCCAAAGAAGTTACTGAGCCATAGGGATTGTGTGACCATTTCAAGGGTAAGCTCTAGGGTCAGAGAGAACGTTTTCCATTCTTCACCCTCGCTTTCCATACCCTGACATGCCAAGCTGGTTAATTAAAATTAATAACATATATTGCTATATGTTTTCCCTCTCCAGAGAATTACAGAGGCTTGACAGTATTACAAAGTCGCCAGTATTTGCATATTTCTCTGAAACTCTCGGCGGCTTGATTACCATTAGAGCGTACAAGTAAGTGTATATTCATCGCATTTATTTCTTAATTATTTATGCCATTCGTGAACGTTATAGTACTTCAGATAAAACGGCAATAAACCAACACGACTCTACGACACAGTGGTGTAACACTGAGCTCTCGCTGGTTGAACTTATTGCTCCGAAGCTTTTTTCCAATGACCATTGGCACAAATCGGTCTGAGTGGGGCGTCTTAAAACATCAAACACAAAATTAGAGAGTCGTTGAGTTCATTCGCGAACTCACCCACAGTGTGGTAGGGCCCAGTGAACCCTTAACTAGGGATCTCGAACACCTCCGTTACGCCACAGATACGACAATAATCAAAACGGCAATAAAATATTGTTTATCGGTATTTTTGTTTATTCCCGTTTTGATTTTTCGTATTGTTTTGGTTTTGACACTTCCGTGACATCGTGTTTTTATATATATTTCTATATAAATCGATAATTATCATTTGCAGCATTATTGTATTTAATGTCACTTTACTATATTTCAGATCTGGGAGCCGATTCCAAGAATACATCATGGAAAAGATAAATTTAAATAGTTTAGCTTACCTTTACCTTCAGACCTGCAACAGGTGGCTGGCAGTGAGACTGGTAAATTAAATGCAAATTACCGCTGTTCAGACTATCACATTTTATTTGACAAAACCGTGACATGCCTAAATATGGTGATGATGACATCACATTATGACCATATATTGCCACGTAATGACTATATATGGGCATACAACAGTTTTTTTTTGTCAGAGAAAATTTGATTGTGTGGACAGGGCGTTACAGATTCTAATTCATAATTCAAAGCCATCATAGTTACGTGAGTGAATAAAATGAGTGGCTAACTGAATGAATGAATGAATGAATGATAATGCAATATCAGTAATCTGATAATAGCATAGGCTTAATAATACAAATATTAGGCCCCTAACTAACTAAATATTGGCCTTATTATACTGATATACGGTTGACCAATCAGCATCACCGAAAGCTGTCGGCGATAGCGTGTTGTATGGAAACAAATCGCTACACCTGTCTCTTATACACATCTAGATGTGTATAAGAGACAGTATATAGAAGTGAAGATGTGCGGTTTTGTTTGTTGTTTTGTTTCTGTACAGATTATTTTCTATAAGCCTAGTTTAATTATTTTTAGAATATACAGTACTTCCCTTCAGATGATGTGTAGGCCTACTAAAAGATCTCTTTAATAACATTAGGTCTATCCTTCTGGATAATGTCTGTGGAATCTGGAAATGAGTTTAATTCAGTGATTATGAAACAATCGAAAAACAAGAGCATTATTGTCTTAACACATTTGTAGAATAGTATATTTAGAGACCTACGTACATAAATATTTGCTGCCATCAAAAACTTATTAAGAACATGTAAATCACATTATGTGACGTCATAAGAGATTAAACGGATTATGAAGGAACAATGCAGGATCACTCACATCACCATACCATCGACAACGACGTCGTTTTCCGCATGATGATGACATAGACATACATATTATTTTCAATGATATTATTACAAATACGATGTTTCAGTCCTATACCGTATATGATTTGACGAGCTTTTAATGTACCGAGGCTGTGTGTTTGTCTGTTGTCATTAATTAATAAATGCCAAATATGAATTATCATTATCATTAAGTATAATGTTAATATTGAATGTATCAGTCATCATTACAAAATGTTGTGCGTCATTATTATTAATGTGCTTGTGTCTGTTGTATCTTATTTTTTCGAAATGTTCGTATGAATTGCTAAATTTTCCAGTGTTATGGATATGGCATTATTATATTGTTAGTTCGGCCCAGCACCCGACTGTATTTCATCTCCTTAGGCCACCAGCCCGTAGAGAACGTAAAATCATAAAAATGAATTTTCAATTGTATTAATTAGGGCCTATTATTATTATTATTATTATTATTATTATTATTATTATTACACTATCATATTATGATAGGCATATCAATTATTACTTGCCGATTATTTTTAGGCTATTGATAATAATAATAATAATAATAATAATAATAATAATAATAATAATAATAATAATAATAATAATACAGTAATATTATTATTATCATCTTTATTGTTTTTGCTTAGTATTTTTTTTAACATCAATTACATTTTATTGTTTTGCTATTTCCAAGGACTTTATCGGGACTTTTATTGTACTAATTGCCGGATTGACAACGGTTATCAGCGCTGTTCTCGGCAACACTGATCCTAGTTCTGTTGGCCTAGCCATCACTTACGCGTTACAGGTAACATACAGCTTGTACCTACTGTGATATATATTTCATCCAGTTCATAACAGTTCCATTCCCATGTGAATATTTTGATCATGTTTTTGTGATGGTTTGAAGGGAAACGCAGACACGCTAATTTATCCATGGTTTGATCACCACTCGTCTCGGCAACAAACATAGGCGGTTAAGTACTTATTTATATCATTGTAGCTCTGTTCAAAGTCATTTAATAGACTGAATGCTTTCAAGTCGTGTGTGTGTTAAAAGCATTTCTTTGCTTCTGGGCAACTGAAGTTTGAAGCCAGTGGTGCAGGGTTTACGCTGTCAAACTAGTGGTTGAGCGCTCCCAGACTGTTATTTCACTTATGTACTCCGACATGGCACGTTTGTGCCCCTCTATCCATAGGTATAAGTGCGTAATCACAATGTACGCTAATATTTTTTTTGCAAATGAAGGTAAAGTACGGTCCGTACTCCTTATAGGATGTGGCCTACTGCAATTACGAATATTGTCCTATTCGTATTTGGTGCACATGACTTATAGCTTAAACCCCACCCCATTTTAGCCGGGATTTATAACTGTAAGTTTGCTTTGAATGATCAGTGTTTTATTAAATACGTGTGATAAACTATTGCGTCCTAGTTGTATCCCGTTTGTCTTTCTATTAAGACACTGTCGCTCAACAGTGTTAGTTTAAAGATATACCGTTTGTAGAACTATAATTCAATATTTCACTTGTTTAATTTGTGTATTTCTGTAAGTAATAACTTCTGATTGAAAATTAGAATTAGAAATATATACACACGCCTATTAACCAGAGCGTAGATAGGGAGCATAAAAACAAAGTGACGTTTTTCGTTTACGTTCGCACACATCTTTTTACAGGTTTCTGGATATTTAAACTGGGTCATAAGAAACATGGCAGACACGGAGATGTCCATGAATGCTGTAGAACGCGTTAGTCACTATACTAACCTCGAAAGTGAACCGTATGAAGGTGGGTAAAGCTGGGCACATACTGCACCCTACTGCCGTCAGCCGAAGCGATTCTATAGAGAACGCAACGCCACAGCGTGCACACAGCCGATCGTTTTTAATGTCGAGATGATCCGTTCAGACTGTCATCGACAATCAGCAGACGGCATCGCGTCGTCTAGCGCTTAGCGGAGTTGGGAGTGCCCGGCTTAAAACGCAAAAGAAATACCAAAATGTTAGACTGACATATTTAGTGTGTAATTCATAATTTTTAAGGCCAACTCAGACAGCGTCGTACGACGCATCCCGACGCGATTCATCGTCGGTAGCAGTCCCCGACGCAATAATCGGGAAGGCTCCCCTTTTTGACTGACCAATCAGCATCACCGAAAGCTGTCGGCGATAGCGTGTTGTATGGAAACAAATCGCTACACAGTCGCTACAGCGTGTCCACTGCAATCCTTGCACCACGTACCGGTAGCTCTCCTCTACGCAATCGGGAACGCTCTCTGATTCAACTGAAAAATCAGCGTCGTCAAAGAAGTCGGCGATACCAGGCTTTGCCGTCGTCGTAAGAATAATCACACAGATTCGACGCGTCAACAAATCGCATCGGGCTGCTGTCTGATTGGCCTTTATTGGCATGGCTGTTACCATGCAATCACATACTTAAGAAGACACTCGAGTCTGTTGAATCCCGCTTATTTATGCCCGTTAATTGTCGTTGTATATTTAAATGTAACTTAAGTTTTAAGCTATAGGATTTTTTTTTGTTTACCTTTTATTTTTGTTTGCCTTGTTTTTGTTTTGTTTGTTTGTTTTTTTATTTAGCATTCCACATTAAAGAAGGCGAAAGTAAACGTAATATTATTGTTAATCAGCCTAATATTAATTGATATTAATTCTTCTTCGTGTTTTTGTTTTTTTTTCAAATTGCACAGTAACCGACTAGTCAGATATGCTTTTATTACAGGATCCCGTGTACCACCGTTGTCATGGCCTGATAAGGGTGATATTGACTTCCGGGACATTTCTGTACGATACGCAAGAGACCTTGATCCTGTTCTTAAGTCTATTAGTCTTCATTTCAAACCTGGAGAGAAAGTAGGTATTTGAGTTAAAAACCGGAACAATAATATAACGCTACTACTATTGCTATGATAATAACGACGGCTATAGCAGTATTAATTGTTTAGCAGGATGACAGTGTGAGTAAAGACTATGAGGATAAGGATAGCGATGAGGATGGCAGAGTGGATGATAATGACTATGATGATTATGAGGATGATGTTAATAGAAGTGTAAATGATGGCAAATGATAGCGGTATGAATGAGGACGGCAACGACGATAATGATGGAGACGACAACGAAGATGAGTATGATGATGGCACATGTGGATGATGGCAGTGTGAATGCTGACGATGATGATGATGGTGACGACGACGAAGATGATTATGATGATGGCACATGTGGATGAAGGCAGTGTAAATGATAGCAACGATGACGACGGTGACACTTATGATGATGATGATGATGATGATGGCACATGCGAATGATGTAAATGGTGACAGTGTGAATGATGACGACGACAATGATGGTAATGGTGACGATGATGAGGGTGATTATGAAGATGATGGTGGCACATGTGGATAACGTCAATGACAGCAGTTCGAATGATGATGACGACGACAATAAAGGAGGCAAAAATGCCAACTGACTGACCCTGATAGTATTTGGGCAATACAATAATTGTTTTGACTGCAATGACAATCATAATAATAATCGTTGTCATAATAGTAAACATTTTGGAAAGTATAATTTCTATTTTTACAAATGAAAAAAACTTATTTATATTATAGGTTGGTATTTGTGGTCGAACTGGAAGTGGCAAATCGTCTTTGACATTAACTCTGTTTCGTGTGATTGACACATTCAAAGGTAGGCATAAGCTCGAACTCAGTGACGTCATTATACGTAGTATCATGTTTTCATTTCAGAACATCATGTAGCTTTATTGCTTTACAATCCACCAAGGGGAATCTGGCTGCAATCACAAGGGATATAATATACAACGCTCATAACACAAGACGTTAAGTAAAGATGCCTGAATGAATATTTAACATCAGATGTTATATCGAGAGCAGCACCATAGATTTAATAATATTTGTACTTCATTGTAAATGACATTGGCAAATATCGATCATTTATATTTCGGGGTATTCATACCATGTTGTAAGTTAAAGTAGGGCACTATATCGGTTTACCTAAATGTTAATGAAAATATAGACGGAAAATAGCTGCTTGTTTAAACTGTTTCAACAAGTATTTTCATATACAGACCCCGTAAATGTAATGAAGACAACTTGTTATCATAATGCAAATCACGCAAAAGTTGTATTTAGTTTGTTAAATTAATCTTTGAATTCCCAAAGAAGATCAGTCCAGGCAAAAGAGCTTTTAGTACAGGCACGAAAAACAACTTTACTTTAAAAAAATCCCACGCCCTATACATCTACTGTTTCAGCTCTAACGAGTCAATACTCCGTGAAGTTAGTACTTCCAGGAAACGGGTCTGGAGCATGTTCTATAGGACGGCACTGTTTACACTGCAGCACGTAATAACTTCCAGGAAGGAGTTGTGGTTTGTTAGAGCGGGAACAGTAGGTGAATGGGGGTGGGGGTGGGGGCGGGGGTGAATCCTAAGGATTAAGCTGCTGGGTTGATGTTTCTTATTGTAACGGCGCGACGAGTCATAATTTAAATAATGTTTTCAAAATATAAGTTTTAACTCGAATGTTGTTCATAAATGCTGTATAAACGAATCAACGTTCAAACGGCTGAATAATCACTATTTTTTGTTATCAGGTTGCATTGTAATTGATGATTTTGATATTGCGCATGTTCCGTTAAGAATTTTGCGTCAACGACTTTCCATAATTCCACAAGATCCTGTCCTTTTCACTGGAACTATCAGGTAAACATCAGTACGGGTTTTGCTTAGAGTTAAACTACCGGTACTTCATGTGTGGTGACCTAAAGAACAAAAATGAAATTTTTTTAACTTTAATTGGAAAAAAAACCCTGGGAAAATGGTCTCATCGCCTGTCGAGACACATTTGAATAATAAGTTCCTATATACTTTGCATCCTTAAAATGGTGAAATGGTAATTCAATACATAAACAGTTTTTAAATCAATACAAGTTAGGCAGTTTTCTATAGAATTTTAATGCATTCGGAGCTGGTTGTTTAAATTAATAACGAATTACAGGCCTATAGATGTATTAAAAATTGTGTATCTTCTGTGTCTCCGAAGGTACAACCTCGACCCGCAGCATTTGAGGACAGACCAGGAATTGTGGGAAGCGATCGAAATAGCTCAATTAAAAGATGTCGTCAGTGGCCTGGAGGGCTCATTAGGTAAGCACTGCAATGCGCATGAGTAGAACACAATTTTAAGTGGTTGGTTACCAACGCGCAACCCTAACGACCAGCTTCAGAGATTGACATCCTCATGTTTCATTAATATTTTTCCGTTTGGAAAACAAACGTAAATGTGACGGTTTCTTTGTGGATATTTTTGAATTTATTAAGTTGGAACCGTCATTGTTTGAACTGCGCATGGCTATATCAAAGATTATTTAAACAATGTGTGCGCGTATCGGCTGATATTTATATAGTATTATTAACATATTTTAAAGATTTGTTGTAGTACTCGGTTACATAACGTGAAGATCAGCAACTAATTAAAATACAGACGAAAGTCAAGCCATGCCTTCACCCCCGCTTGGTAGTGCGGAGTTATGTAAAGCGCGCGAATGAGTTATATCACGTATTTTATTAGCTTTCTTACCTGCATATTCAAAAATATCTCATTCAATACGTAATGAATGTTATGTGGTGTAATTTTAGACAGTCCACCCAGCAAAAGATCTACCCAGCTTTAACAATAACATTCAGGGGTGTTAATTACACAATGTTTCCAGTATAACCCCGTGCATACATGATCAGTGTAAATGTGATACACAAACATACCCAGATGTGGGTATATATGCCGACGCATTTATGTAACTAACAAAGAAATTCATGAAAAAAGCAAAAAAACAAATTGTAGTTTTGTACGTGTATGGACCCTGTCTTGATTGGTCAGGTTTTGAGTTTCATTGACACTTCTCAAAGGTCATTTTAAGGTCAATTGATTTGTGCATTTAACTTGACAGTAATACAATAGTTTTCGTCGAATGTACCGGTTCGAATATATTACAGTTAGAAAAATCTAATACCCACTGTAGATCAAATTAAGCCTGTTAAATGTATGTTCACGTTCTAAAATTTTAGTGATTTGTAGACTGTATGGTAAGTATATATGGCAAAAACGTTATTATCCATAATCGGACATTTACATGCAGATGATAATGATACATTATAATACTGTAGTAATAGTCTTTATTCTTTCGTCAAGTTCTTGCCTTTCTCATGTGGACGATTTTGCCCTATAATAACAATTAGGCCTCTCTAATTATGCCTTGGAATTATTGTATAGAACTTTGACCAATATCGTAAACAGTTATGCGCGAGACAGGCATTGTCTCATGGGAAATTTTAATTGTCTTTTAATTGTCTGCTCCATACAGACTACCAAGTGTCAGAAGGAGGGGAGAATTTCAGCGTAGGTCAGCGCCAACTATTCTGCTTGGCCAGAGCTTTCTTGAGGAAGTCACAGATTCTAATCATGGATGAAGCAACGGCTTCGATTGATATGCAAACAGTAAGAGTTTTTATGGCTCTTTCAGGGCCACATTAACACACACAAACAAGCACACACACACACACACACACACACACACATATATATATATATATATATATATATATAATATATATATATACATATATATATATATATACAAAGCATGGTTTAGTTATGCTGCCACGTAAATCAGGTAGGAAATCAATGAAATCTCAATAATTATTCAGCAAGAATTTGTTAATTTTACGAAGATTTGTTGTTGGCAAGACAACACAAGTTTGCCACTATCACAATTATACTACTCTTAATTATTAAACTCAATTATGGCCACATCTTCAAGTCCGCAGTCATCGATTTATTTTTATAGCAGGTTCTTGCTATGACAAATATTTTCTCTTTACAGTAAAAATCTGAATGATATACTGTTAAATGTACGCATAATGTTAAGAGAAGCATACACATAATTATTTTTGTTTAAAAATGGAAGTAAAAAATTAAAGTAATTAAAGATCAATGACTAAACGAACCATGACCACAATCAATGGCAAATACAATGTAATGTAGTCTACATTTATATAGCGCTTTATAAAGTCTCAAAGTGTTCGAGGTCTGGACTAGCGCGCACATTAACTTGCTTCTCCTCTAAGGGTCTCTTCATGTCAGCTACTCACGTCTGTCCACAACAGGACCAGTACACCGTGGTAACCCCCTACTCGTCACGAAAGATGTACCGGGTTCTTTTAAGTGCACACCAGCCAAAGTGTGTACACTAAGCCTACGGTTTATAGTCTTGTTCCACCACCAGAACCATAGTAAAAATAATGCATTTAATCATGTGGAGAGAGACATGGATAAAAATAATTGGATATTACTCCCAGGTAGATACTTGCAATAATGTCACAGGTGACAGCAACTTTTACCTGTACGTGACCTTAAACAGTGACATTAAAGGCCACGCCCAAATACATTTAATCATGTAAAGAGAGACACGGATAATTTTTTTTATTGGAACTATTATACATTGGGGGTAACAAAAATACCAATGACAATAACTTTATCCTGTATATAAGCCCAGACAGCAGCCCAAGGGGACCCATGGGGGTCTTATATAGTAGCAACATGATAAAATCATGCAAAGAGAGACATGAATGAAACCAACTAGGAATTACTACTTGTACATTGTAGAATGCTGAAACACCGATGACAGCAATTTTTTCATGTACGTGACCCTAAACAGTGACATTAAATGCCACGCCCAAATGTACATTAATCATGTGAAGAGAGACAAGGATGATTTTTTTTTATTGGCACTATTATACATTGGAGGTAACATAAGTACCAATGACAGCAACCTTATACTGTACATAACCCCAGACAGCAGCCCTAGGTTCCCAAATGGACTTATTATTTACCGGTATAGTATGATATGGTCGAATCTAATAATGATTAGAGATAGTAGAATGCAACTGAAACACCTGATTATGACACAGACAGTGGTTCTGGAGATCAACTTCAGAACAAAACAGGAATTTAGTGAAGGATGGGACCATTTACACTGGAACTTTTAAACATTGGAAAGAAAATCCATTTGACAGCAACTATTTACTACTTCAGCTATAGATTTCCGTTTGATAATAATATTTTGTTAAACACTGACTTCAGATGAAATACAACAATACCATAATACAAACTCAGTATATTGTTGCAGTATTTACTCATGTTTACTTTGCCACTGCTTCTTTTGATTTGTTTACTCGTTCTGTGCTTGGGTTAGGCAATGATCACGGCTGCTTGTGGGTTGTGAGGTGCCTAAATATGGGCGCTTCGTATCTGCAAAGAAAGGTGCTTTACAAATGATTGGATTTGGGAACCTAGGGCTGCTGTCTTGGCTTATGTACAGGATAAAGTTGCTGTCATTGGTACTTATGTTACCCCCAATGTATAATAGTGCCAATAAAAAAAAATCATCCGTGTCTCTCTTCACATGATTAATGTCATTTGGGCGTGGCCTTTAATGTCACTGTTTAGGGTCACGTACATGAAAAAATTGTTGTCATCGGTGTTTCAGCATTCTACAATGTACAAATAGTAATTCCTAGTTGGTTTCATTCATGTCTCTCTTTGCTTGATTTTAGCATGTTGCTACTATATAAGACCCCCGTGGGTCCCTTGGGGCTGCTGTCTGGGCTTATGTACAGGATAAAGTTGCTGTCATTGGTATTTTTGTTACCCCCAATGTATAATAGTTCCAATAAAAAAAAAATTTCCGTGCCTCTCTTCACATGATTAAATGTATTTGGGCGTGGCCTTTAATGTCACTGTTTAAGGTCACGTACAGGTAAAAGTTGCTGTCACCTGTGACATTATTGCAAGTATCTACCTGGGAGTAATATCCAATTATTTTTATCCATGTCTCTCTCCACATGATTAAATGCATTATTTAACCCCCTATTTCATTTCCCCCAGCCCGCTTGTACAGCATGTGCCCTGGCAGCAATACTGAATATTTTATCTTGGCCCTATACTATCATGACCAGACCATCAAACCTTTTGTCTCTTTTCACATGATTAAATTTTCTGGGCTCCCGGTCTATAGGTGAGCGTGCCATTCAAACCACCAGCGCCGATATTATGGCAGTAGGTTGCGGTGCCCCTGCTTTAACCGCTCGGCCATACAACAATATAAATACTTAACACTAACAATAATTTAAAAAAAAAATCAAAATTGCACAATCGAATAAAAGGCAAGTACATTATATGCATTGTATAGTGTATGTGTCTCAATCAATATAAATTGGTGCAATATATTATTATCATTATTTTTATTAATTATTTATTATTACCGAAATTTGAAAATTAAGATTTTGGGTTTAGTAACTTTATGAGAAATGACATTGCACTATTTTAATATCTATCCACCCTTATTACACTTTCTTCATATTTCAGACTAGGACGAAGTTTCATAGTGTGTGTAGAATTTCGTATTTGTGAATACAAAGGTATTCACAACAAAAATATTACGATAACTAGGTTTTAATTTTTTTTTTACATTTCCAGGACCAAATTCTACAGAAAGTGGTGGCAAGTGCTTTTAAGGATAAAACAGTTCTGACAATCGCGGTAAAAATTTCTTTTATTGTACATTCAACAAAAAAATTGATATATTAACTGTCACCTCTCTCACACCTCCGCATATTTTATGAATAAGGGATTGCAGAATATTCCTTTAAAGTCAAAGTGGGCCTTTTATAAGTTTTAAAACTATTTCTCTTTTATTTTTCAGCATCGTGTCTCCACCATCATCGATTATGATACCATACTTGTACTCGGTGATGGAGAAGTCAAAGAACTTGATTCACCAAAAAATCTACTAGCACGTGACGACAGCATCTTCAGCTCATTGGTCAAATCGAATAAATAAGATAGACAACAAATAAAGAAACCTCGCTTGATTTTCAGTTTTGAGAGTAATTGTTATTGTCGTGATGGAATAGACAATAACTGGATTTGCGTCAGGAGAATCAAGTATAGGTGTAATTTTGCCGTACCTGACGTGGAAATGTACTGAATTGAGAAAAAAAGTTGTTCTCGGGTGGGACTCGAATTTGGAGATCGTGGATTTTTTCGCAACAGTTTTCACACGTACTGACTATTCAGTACCGTACATTTCCACGTCAGGTACGGCAAAATTACAAGTATTTTCATTCTTGTTACCGATTACGGAACCATTATTATTCACGGACCTTAATTGCCGCGATTTTGTTAAATGAAGTATTCAATCATTACCTTTTTATTTTCGCGAATTGTTTTAAAATGAATTACGCAACGGCAACTCACTCGTCAACTTTCAAAATCCGTAATCAACAATGTATTTGTTTTTTTAGGAGACTAGTAGCTGATTGATAGAGGCGGTTGAGTATATTATAGCGTGATGAGAAAAGTAATTTCATACCTTAATTACTTTCAGTTTTATTGATTGTTCAAGTTGCACGCAAGTGAACCATTTTCGGCATGTAATCAAAATTGTGTAGAACTGAAGATAAATGTTGCTAGTCGAAGCTGATAGGCCTACTGTTTCTTTCGGGTCAACAAAATGAGGTTAGAGTATACACTTACACCTCTACAGACTGGCTAATCCCGGTGGACGAGGATCCCAAGTGATGAAATACATATACATTTTCCAATTGCTTTAACAATTAATTTATATATATTTAAGAAGTTTTCTCATTTTTAGACGACCCTGGAGGATAATCTTATGCGTATTGCCATTTTATGTCTCACAAATGCACTTTAAACTCCAATTATGAGTATTGCAATTGGTTGTAAATTCGGCAATTTGTTAAAGACATATTTCAAAAACATAAGTTATATTTCGCATTCGTGTTTAAAAGAATGAAATAGAATTACAGCCATAGTTATAAATACTCCATTTTAATTCATAAAACCATAACTGCTTGTTGTAATAAAACTCAAAATTACCAGCAGGCCTACAGATAAATAAGCATATAATAAGTTTGCATGTAGGCCTATATGCTTTTGCCAGATCGTCCCCAAACCCGTTACAATATAAATTTAGAAAATTGAATTAGAAGCAATGACAGAACATTTCAAGTGAAAAATATGCTGGTAAGTTTGTAATTATAAGTTGTGGCAGTAGAAAAGGTTCCCGGATTGGAAGGTCATTGTTTCATTATTCGAGCATTCCTACTTGCTATTATCTGATTATTTCTATAAGTGGACATTCCTATTTAGGGGACACTCTCTTGGTCCCGAATCACGGGAAACCATACATTTTTGGCTGTATTTTTAACACTACAGCCAATCCCTGTTTCGGGACAAGCTTATTGTCCGATCATGAGGTCTTGTGACGGTTATGTAGTTAAGCCCGTGCCAAGTACGTGTGTGTGTAACCGATTGTATTTACCTATTAATATTACATTAATATTATAATTGGTATTCATTATTATTATTATTATTATTATTGTTATTATTTTTTTTTTATCATAGTCGTCATCGCCAGCCTCATTTTAACTACATTATTACTTCCATATATTACAAGTACTAAATAAAATCAATGCAATTATATTTTGATAATTTTTTTCGATAATTTAAGCACAAAAAAATGCAAATTGATATTCTTACTTATACAATAGTTGTCATGTTCTAGGATGGCAGCATCAGGAGATATTCCTCTATAAATATTTAACGTCGATCTATCGGATTCGGCGGAGCTTTGTTAGCGGTCAATACCCATTGTAATGGCTTGCTGTTAATGCGTTTAGCTTACTACAGTATGTAAAAAAGGCACGAGCCGGTATTTAGTGAATTTACTGTACTGTCAAAATGTATTCAGGTTCATGTCGTGGAAAGATCAATACTAAAATTGTTGATTTAGGTTTGCGTTCATACACATCATTAACATAGTGTTAATCACAGAAGGAAGATCTTGTTAGCGCCATTTCGTTAAATTCAGATGTATAGTATAGTGTGAATGCAAGTCGTGTTAAACAAACATAGACGGATGTAAAAAAGTAAAAGAAAAACAACCATCGGGTTGAGTTCGCTATAGGCTATAGGCCTATTTCTAAGAGACTGCGTGGACACTATAATCAAGATCATTTTCTCCATGATACGATCGATGAAGGCCTAGTTATTCCGACTTTCTCCCGATGTATACCTGTCCACCGCAAATCAAGTGGTTATAATACGAAGTTAAAATAAATGAATAACGAATTGTACTATAATACACCGCATCAGGGTGCTTAGGAATTCGAATAGATTTCTAATGCTGTTATTGGATATAAAATCATACGGTAACTAAAAGAAAGGAAGGGAGATGTATAGCTGAACACTAAGGACAGTCTGGGACCCAAATAGTTACCGGTCCAAACTAGGGGCGCTAGGGGTATCTGCTTTAAAATTTGTATGTGTAATATTGAGCATACTATACAGTGTTATATAAGCCTATAATATTTGATAAGGCTTAGTTATAATATTATCTCCACTATATATTTTATACATTGCTTTTGTTACATTATTCATATATATATGTATATATATATATATATATATTTGTGTACGGTATTTGAAAAATAATGATAACCACAATGCAATTAAATTTTGAATCATTTTGTAATAATTCAAGAACAGAAATGCAAATTGACTATTTTCATATAGGAGAGTGATACTGTACTAAGTAAGCACAATGCAAGTATTTAAGCACAAACATGTATGTGTGTTGTTATCACGTATTTACCACGCTTTGTGTGGCGACCCTAAACGTAACATTGTTTAATGATTAATGAATCTTTATTTGAACATTCTTTACAACATTGTATCCATGAGGAATGATGAATATGATTTACAAACAATCAGAACAAAAGTTTGTATTAGTCTTCTGTATTGGAGTAGGCCTATAGGGCTATTAAAAGCTAAAGCATAATAGTTTGCACAACTGTCCTACGTAATTGTTATCCCGCCCCCGTGATCAGCTCTATTGTAATATCATTGACCTGAACACAAACGAGATCGTTCTAATGACGTCACTTCATTTCAGCAACATTCATATATGGAAAACAAATCATGACTTTGTACATGAATTGGATAACAGATGCCACAAGATGTGAAGTCCAGACTTTTTATAGATTAAAAACATTTTCTACTATAACGCAATTATTGAATAGGCCTCAGTGTAATAATAATAATAATAATAATAATCATCATAATCATAATAAATAATAATAAATGATAATAATAATATTAATACTGTAATAATAACAAATAATACAGTACTGCTAATAATTGTTGCGCTGAAGTAGATATAGTAGTAGCATCAGTAGCAGTATAACAGTAGAGCAACAGGGAGCAGTCATGGTCATAATATGACTGCTTCTTGATAGCAGTTAGGCCTACGCAGTATACTAGTAGTGAAGTAGCTGTTTTTATCTAACGGTTTGAGTAAACCATAAAGAGCAGTAGTATACCCGTACAAATTAAAATTCTGTAATTCATGTAAAACTGCGTATTCACACAACCACCACTTATTATGTTCGTAATGTTGATAATTCCAAAATAGAACGTCAAAAAGTAACGAATGATTCTGAATCGCACATTTTATTCAAATAGATCCAATACATATGATTATGAAATTGCAAAATATATGACATTTAACGTAGCATTAATTATCGGCTGCATACTTTATGTTGTCGCATTTTAAAATGTACAACGCACAGTGCAGTGTACCGCCAAATCACTGATCCTTGGATAATAATTAAGTATTTTAACTCAACTGCTCTCACACCACGAATCTAATTCCTATTAATAAATACTCTTTGGCGTCAATTTCGACGCCAACATTGTTATGTCGACACATACAGTTACCGTTATTTATCGTAATTTCAAAATGTATTGAATCCACGTGGAGCAAGCTAAGCGTGTGTCATTCATCACAAGTTTAGCGAGTTGACTATTTTTTTTCCATAAAGCGAAATTGTAGGTGGGCCTAATTGAAACGGTACCCAGGGCATAGTATATATTTTATTTGCAAGAACAATATAATGATTTTCTGTTTTTCATGAATCTAAGACGTAACCATTTATAAACACTAATTCACTTTTACAATTTCACCGAAATGACGCGTCAAGTGGGTAGGCCTATATGATTACGTCATTGTCTTACAAACTAATACTTTTCTGATACCATTGCATTAAAATGTAATTAATAAACCATCTTTTAGTTTCTAATATGTCGAAGGTGAATTATAGTAAACGAACATTCATACGACGTTTGATACCGTCTGTATTTTTATTTTTAATTGTTGATTTTTACAGTTTGTAGAGCCGAATATTACAAGCAATCTTCAATTTTTACAACACACAATATTATACGCCATAATGATTGTTTGCCTTATTAATGTACACTTGGAACCACCAGATTGAGGTATTACGTACCATTTCACATGGCCTCCATATTATTATAAACAAAATAGGATTATTTAATTATCAATTGTATATACCTGTAAGCTATAATACGAATAATATTTATGCTATCAGAGAAAGATGGAATGATTACAATTATGATTATTTTGGAATGGCCAACCGTGTTGCACAAAACATAATAGGGAACTTTCGATTTGAGCGACCCATGTGTGTGACCGTCCACGTTCTCTGCAACAACGTAGATAACGTTCTCGCATGCGTAGCTGACTTCTTAACGTCATTACTTTCTACGTCCTACCGCGTCGTGCAATCCAAGCTCCCTTATTGAAAGCATTTATAGCATTATGTTACATTATACTAAATAACATCACCCTTTGCACAAATATATTCACACTGCCCCAAAACACAAACAATCTTAAGTACTTTATAATTTATAATCACTTTTTTTAAACAAAACTGTTTTGATTTTTAAAATGAGTTCTTCTAAAATTGGAAATATAATGGTTCCAATTTGTACCAAAATAAATATTTTATTGGAATTTGACTTGCGATCAATCGACCCCAGCGTTTTTCATTAATCAGATTAGGAGTGTGTCATTTCTTTTAAAGATGTATTGTCCCATGAAAAATACCAAAAAAATCATTTTAAAGTTAACTTACTCATTTTGAAATAACATAGCAATTATCAATTTGGACATAGACATTAGTGTATTTAAACAATTTTTACCCATAATTTTACAGCGAAAAATGATAGAAACTGATAAATGATAAATATATTTATTTATCTTTGCGATGGCTCTCATGGTAGCGGCAGTATTTTAGCCTTAATGGGAGTCTAATAATTTAATTTAGGCCTATATATGTCAAGAATATTTATTTGTTATAATTTTGGTCAAATAAATCAATCTGAGTCTTGAATTGTATTTATTATTGATTATTATTATCTATTATACAAATCAGGGTACACATTTTGTAAATTCAATCATTTGTATGTTACTGTAAAATGAGCAAGTCATTCAGAGGACAATAATCTTTGGTCAATGGACTGTTTTGAATACTTTTCATTGTCGTGTTTCCTAGGCCAGATTCGGCTGATTGAGGATTGCTGCAATGAAAACAAATCTATCGTAATTTAATTTTCAGACTAGAGCACAACATTTACAAGAAACCGATACGATTTCAACAACAATCGGGCAACTGAAGTCACTAATGCAAATAATTGAATCCTGCATCCTGAGGACAAAGGTCAATCGTGCTTGAAATAATTAAGTAATGTAAATTTTTTATAGTGACCATAGGTCTACATTATTTATTAAACAGTGTATGCATAAAATTAAATAGCAAATTTTTTAGGCCTGCATGGGAAAATTATCATACAGTCTGCTGATTTTCCGTGTGGCATTCTGAACGCATCGTCATTAAACACGATCCGTTGCACGCGCATCATGGCGTTGCGTTCTTCATAGCATCGCGTCGGCCGACAACCGTCGGGCGCTGTAAGTTCCCAGCTTAAGACGCAAAAATGGTGTCTTTCATCAGTACACTTCCCCGGTAACGGATCTCAAATATTATAGCACTACATACCCGACGATATGGAACATAGGACTATTCAAGCTCATTATAAAAAGAAATGATATGACCATTTATGTACGTTTAATATAATTGACAGTGGTTATAAGCTTATTTCACGTAGCTTGAATTAGCCTATATCGACATCTTAATCAAACAGAATATTTATGTAATCTATATATACATTCATTTTTAATTTAATTCTACTCATTCAATCGGAGTCTGTATACGTAGAATTAACCTATATACATTAATATGCATGCGGGTTACTGCCTTATATGTATACAGACTCCATTGCTTTACCAATATGATACAGACCGTAAAGTTCAAAGTTCAATGCTATAATAATTCATAGTAAAACAATCATTGCACAAGTTTATTATATACAAATTTGGGAAAATTAGTAACAACTATACATTTTGTGTATACACAAAATAAATCTACAAATTTACATTTCTTTGCAAGTATTAATTATTCAAAGCAAAGCATGGAATGATGGTAAGGAAAAAAGGCTTGGATGGAAAATCATTAATTTTATATCAGCCGTTTAGGCTCCACATATTATAATGTGTTCGATCATTGGTCTTAAGAAGAAGATCCAAGGCGGGGAAGTATTATTGCATTGGAACGAAATTTCTTTTAAACCGGAGCAAGACTCTTCGTTCAAACAGGCTACCGTAATTTACAACACAAGCTGAATGGTTCAACCAGTTTGCATTGCAGTAATACTGGCGAAGCCTTGTGCAAACTGCATAATACAAATACACCGTTTTAGAATGTAAACATTTCATGTTTACTAAAAGAACTGCATACCACAACGCTGTACATCTCCAGCTCCTTGATCGTCACAAACAATTTAAATTATTACACATCTATATATCCAGCACACATAGATTTTTGTCATATTTGCTTGTTTTTGTATATTATCTTTCAATTTCAGAATATTTACAAAATAATATTTCTAATATCAATAATCATGTAAAATAACGATGGTATACGATTGGAATGTATAACTTGGGTCAAAGTACAACTGACAGAGACATTTATCTGGCACTTAAAAGTCATTATTTCTTTCTTTTGCAACTTCGCTCTCCAAAGCAGCATAGCAAACAGAAGTAAGAAATGAAAGTATGATGCAGTCTTTTATATGTGACGCCATCGATGGTTTTCGGATTCATTCGGTAAAATTCGGCACACAGATTCGAACTGCGCGAGTCATGATGATACGAAGCAACGTCTTTACGGGAATGCGTAAGAATCCCAGAAAAAAATGCGTCGAAAAATTACCACTTAAAACCTTTATTGGCATTTAACTAGGCGAAGATGGAGGCGTTGAACCCTCCTCAATCGAGTTCATTCTCAATCTAGTCTCGAACTGATTTCGATTTCTCCGTCTCTTTGTCTCCACGAAACACGCAATTACGAAGAATATTAGTGGCCCGAATATCACTGCTAGCCCGATGCCTATCAAAGGCGGACGCTTTTGTCCTCCAACCATCGCCAAGAACAGGCCTAGAAAATAATAAAGGAATTATGAATTATTTTGTCATATATTCGATTTTATAATGCGTACTGTAATTGCTTGCTGCAATGCTGCTGATAAGTAAGCAAAACCGTTATGCTGATGATGTTTGCGCCATTATCGAGTGAGGATTGGTCCTGGTACCTACAGTAGGCCTATATTTTCAAAGTAAAACGCATGACTTACCGAGGGGTAACACGAGTACGAAGTATATACATACTAATATACCAATCGTAAGACCCTGTCCGCAGCACAGACCACCGCAACATCGTTTCTCTGGGAAAAAGACAAAAATAAACTGATAGGATTGATCTTTTGCACTACCTGACGTGTTAAAATAAACTTGTTCTGCTATGTATGGATTTACAGATCATTAGAAACGTGACATAAGAAAATTCATAAACGAAAAAGCACTGACGTCACTATGCATAATAACATTTAGTAATACTGTATCACTGAGTGTACAAGTGATATAAACATTTTTTTCTGCAGAGCCTGGCTTTAAACATTTTTATTATCATCATCACTAGTGTGTTATTAAAAATTAGTGTTTCTATTACTATTGTAGTTGATGTTATTATATACACTAATTATATATTCATTTTATATATTTATCTAATATTTCGTTGTAAGTCGTTTATTTCGTATCTATAAATCGTTTAATATTTCGTATCTAGGCCCTATGTCGTTAAAATCGTGACAATGGAAATATAATGTAGGCCTATAATATATAATCATATGATATAGGTTTTGGTGACAATAATTGACAGGTGGATTATGGTTAGTTTCATAGTTTCCTCGTTGTGAAATTATCCGAAACCACCTATGTTTTTTATCCGCATTATTAATATCCGTTGGCCTTTGTTAGACCATTTTCTTACTTCACATTAAAATCATTCTCTGTCATTCCAGCATGCCAAGTGAACCGTAACTGTGAACTATGACCTGTGTATGTAATGCATCGTATCGCATTGCCACTCATGTCGCCAATAATGTTTGATTGGTGGATAGATTAGCTCGAATATTGGCAAACAAAACTGCATGATAATTTAATGTATAAACTATACATTTTCAGATCCAATATGTCGCCATTCGATACAAATGAAGGAAAATGTCATCGAAAATGAACAACCAATTTCGAAACTAAAAATAAAACTGATGATGTATGATGGATGCCTATTCATCCAATAGTAAAGATAATCGGGAAATTATATTTCCACATTTTCATTTCTAAAGGCCTGTCCTGTATTGAAATTGTATTTGACAAAATCATGTGATATGCCTTAATATGGGCATGATGACATCATGACTATGTATATGCATAGAACAGCTTGGTTTTTTTTCAGTTCAGAAACTGCCACAGACAATGATGATGAAATTCCCTAGTTATATGCTTGAATGTTTTAGTTCCACGGGACTTTACCCCTCAACAAAGGGCCTGGTGCCCATAGATATGACTCTCATATGAAACGCCCATGGTTACATGTCAGAAGTGTATAAACATTTTTTTTCATGGAAAAGTATCTGTATAGAAACATTACCATTTGGACCATTTATACAGAGGGGTTATTATAGGGATCCTTTTTCGCTGCTGCCGGGGTGGAGGGAAACGGACGGACAGACTTTAAATGTAAATGTAATTTTCTTTTTTTCTCCAATTATTTACAATTTTGAAAAATGTAGGTGGGGGAGGGGGTGCGGGCCGGCTGGCTTCCCCTTGAATCCGCCACTGCATCACCGTCATCATCATTATCATTGTAATTATCATCAAACATAGACCTGTACCAGTGGTACAGTGTTAAGTTATAAACATCTACACATCTAGATGTGTATAAGAGACAGCTGCTAGCCCGATGCCTATCAAAGGCTTGGCAAACAAAACTGCATGATAATTTAATGTATAAACTATACATTTTCAGATCCAATATGTCGCCATTCGATACAAATGAAGGAAAATGTCATCGAAAATGAACAACCAATTTCGAAACTAAAAATAAAACTGATGATGTATGATGGATGCCTATTCATCCAATAGTAAAGATAATCGGGAAATTATATTTCCACATTTTCATTTCTAAAGGCCTGTCCTGTATTGAAATTGTATTTGACAAAATCATGTGATATGCCTTAATATGGGCATGATGACATCATGACTATGTATATGCATAGAACAGCTTGGTTTTTTTTTCAGATCAGAAACTGCCACAGACAATGATGATGAAATTCCCTAGTTATATGCTTGAATGTTTTAGTTCCACAGGACTTTACCCCTCATCCCCACAAAGGGTCTGGTGCCCATAGATATGACTCTCATATGAAACGCCCCTGGTTACATGTCAGAAGTGTATAAACATCGTTTTTCATGGAAAAGTATCTGTATAGAAACATTACCATTTTGACCATTTATACAGAGGGGTTATTATAGGGATCCTTTTTCGCTGCTGCCGGGGTGGAGGGAAACGGACGGACAGACTTTAAATGTGAATGTAATTTTCATAACATAACATTTGAGGCATTCTGGGCTATAATTTTTTTCTTTTTCTCTCTTTTTTTTTCTTTTTTTTCCTTATTTTTCCCTTTTTTTTTACCTCCCAAAAGGGGAGGGGGCGGGGCCGGGCCGCCCCCCCCCCTAAATCCGCCCCTGACATTGATGTAACATTAATGCTTTACGTACACGATGGAATAATGTTCTTTCTGTATGTCTTACCGGAGTATGTCAGACAATGTCAAAATAAAGGTACCGAAATCAATAGAACTCATGGCAATACATTGATGCTGCGTCGTTTATGCGCATAATTTCAAATTTAGGTGCTCCTCTTACAACATTTGAATGGTGTGTAATAACAACAAAAATGATTATAGGCCTAACACTGTAATAACGATAATTATAATGAAAACAGTAATAATTACCTATTGATAGTTACTCAGCCTTATTTATTAAAAGCATTAGAAGTGGCAGTGGTTGTGGTTTGGGCTTTCAACCTCGTGGTGAAAGTTCGAATCCCACTGTGCATCTTGATTGTGTCTCTGTGCAGGGGGCTTTACTTACGTTTTTTCTCTATCCAGATGTATAAATCGGTATCATAGAATATGCTGGGATGGTGAAACGAATGGTTAACCCCTCCCCAATGACGCAGAGCTCAGGTTTCGATCTACCTTTAATTTTTGCCTATTACCGTATTAGTAATGGGAGTTGAGTAATATTCATATTTTAAACGCTGACATACCCATCAAACAATTGTATTGTTGTTAATTATTAATTTAAATATTTCAGTCTTACATCGATTGTTGATAACCTAGTAACCAACACCAGTTCATAGATTTATCCAGTAAATACAACAGAGGCCTTGGTAGAGAAAAATAAGAAAAAAATTCCAAAGTCTATCAATCATTTGACAACCGATGTAAATATTGATCTATATGACGTAACAGTCACGTGACTGAACACACCATGTCGCGCTACCATATTAGAAAACAGAAGAGATGATACTGCTGTAGTCTGTTCGGAATTGAATAATACTTGTACGTGAAAAAGTGGGTGTATACTGGAGCCTTATACCTTGCGGTTATTTTGCAGTGTATAACCTATGACCTTATAGAATACGAATAGGATAACCCAAGGCAAATATTAGCCATTTCACTAACAACGCTGCGTACATGAATATATGAGGTTTAACGAATGCTTAACACTTTCATATATAAACAACTGTTTTTGAATCATCATCTTGCTTGTACACATTACCATGGAAATGTATTAACTGTGTTACGTTATATATAAAACAACCCGTACTTATAGTATGTTTAATTAACGAAGGAAATTGTAAAAACATATTGGACTGATAGTGATAATTCTTAATGGTATATTTCTCTTACAGGAGGAGTAATAACAATTGTACTGAAGTTAACAATACAGTAATATGAAGGCCTACAATTTGAAAACCAGACATCGTCTCGTTCGAAATTTGTGTTCAATACAGCCCCCCGGGAATGTGTAAAACGTTGGTCTAATTATATCGGTAAATGATATAAACAGGGATGTAATACACTCCGCACATCGAGAGGTTGCAGGTTCGAATTCTGCCAAATACACTTCTTTTCATACAACTGAATTAAAAGGAACTTTTCGTTGAAGGCTACGGTAGCTTGATACGATTATAACATCTTGTTCCTATTCGAGCACTAAACTGTTATTATTTATCCATTGTTAATACTATTGTGCTTATTGTTGTACGCAGCAAACCTAATTTGAATATTATATTATAGGCCTATATTATATCTGTCTCTTATACACATCTAGATGTGTATAAGAAACGATTCCTGTAATATCTGTCTCTTATACACATCTAGATGTGTATAAGAGACAGATATATATATAGAAACGTAACAGAAGAGAAATCTGACAAAGAAAGAAAAAAAAATCCTCAGCCTCGAACCCGGGACCTTTTGCATACACGACCACGAAAGCATTGTGGTGGTTCAAGCGCCATGTAGATCTGAGTTTCTTTCATTCTTTTAACGTGTCTGACGTCGCGATTTTGATATAGCTCTAATATCGCACGTGATCAAGCTGCCAGAGATCTATAAGATACGCCAGTCTTTTTTGCATTATTTTCAGCTAGCTGGATCTCGAATGCGATACTTGTATATATAAATTGAATTAAAGGTGGAAAAACTCAGAAACAGAAAGCGGAATAATGCAAATTGAAACGTAACAGAAGAGGAATCTAACAAAGAAAAAAAATCCCACCAGGACAAGGGTATGTATTTATTTAAGGGAAAAATACTGAAAAACAACAATACTGTGGGAAACAATGGATGGATCTCGGTAGAAATTTGATAAGCAACAGCTAAAAATTTCCATATATATATTATATATATTTAATATAATATGCAAAATATGTCAGTAATAACATAAGAGCAGTCACTAATATAAATAGAGTGCATACCTCTGTCATGTGCCTGAAGACCAAAAATAAGTAGGCCGTGTATGATGGGCGAAACTGCAGCATACTACACGAAAATAATGGAATCGCCCGTTGTTTTCAGGTACATTACATTATTTTCTTGAGTGACGTTACAATTATTTTCTTTCATGCTCGAGGGTAAATAATTTAATTTCCGTGACCTGTGACCTTGACCTTGTCCTTTGACATTTTCTTCCGATAATTGAATGGTGTCTTTTTCGATTATTATGTACCTTTCCACTAAATTTTATGATGGTCCATTCATTAGATTTTGCGTAATCTTGCTAACAGACAGACGGAAAGACAGACAGC